ACACTGGTGTTTTCGCATCGTCCTGATATGATTGAGAGTTCTGTCACATTGGCTACCAGTACTAAGACGTATCATCTGGCAGGAGAAATAGTTGTGACGTGATTGCAACTAGCTATACCATAGCCTATGTAAGATAGAATACCACATAGTGTGGCTTGTTGAACATACTGCAAGTGACCCTTCTGCAATGCTTGATGAGTTTAATTCTGTGAGGATGCACTTGAATCACTTGAAAATATTGCAACAAATTACCATATTTTCAAGTGTTTCTAGTCAAGGGTGTAGTAATGTACCTGGACCAGCACTACAGCAGCTAGCAGTGTGTGACATCAAGACTGCTGGCTTGGCCATTGGCCTACAAGTCATTTGGAACATTGTAATACAGATTGAGTTAGAGGGGAGGTACAAATGTGCAGTGTATCAGTGCATGCATGCAGTCACCCTTGGCAAGAATGTGGTCAGTAGCTCCATAATATTCTTCTCCTCAGATTCAAGCAGCACTGAGTCAAAGTCTATTCCCTTTTTTTGATATGCAATGAATGAGTTCATGCAGTGTACCGCAGAGGGATTTATCACCCACTCGTATGTTGATAATTTGGCTAAATCACATGTACGTGTAGAATGTGAGTTATCCAAACTACATGTAGGTGAATACAATTGATACCTACACGTACATGTATGTGTAACTGCTGCTCGCAGTAAATTGTGATCACCAGCCGCAAGTTCTTTATTTATCATCGTTGTACTTCGAAGTACGAGAATATATGGCGTGATCATGTGACAGGTACAATCATGTATATTGCATGTGTGCGTGGTCTACTTAGAATCTATACTATCCACTTGAGCAGTGTGAGTTCAGTTTCAGTTCAGCTCAGATACAGCCAATTCCACCAGGTACTACAAAGACAAAAGTGGATAAACCCTGCCCTTACGTGATGAAACAGTTTTAACATTTGAATAGTGACGAAATATTTGATGTTGATACATGTCTCTTTTCGAGCCTGTCCTGGCAGCACTTTTGTTGCAGTTCAAGCGTTCTTAATATTTCTTTTGAGATACTGTGCAGGCATCATGTTCAAAATTCAAAAGGGAGGAGCTGGCTAGTCTAAACATCATGGGCCATACCTGAGAACAATACTGCTTATGGGTTTAGTATTGCTTTTCTCCATTTTGCATTCCAAGGCTGTGTTTACATGAGAAATTTCAACCCGGGTCGAATTCAGCCCGGGTTGAAATTCTGTACGATAGAAAAAATGGGTGAGCGTTTACATGAAGACAGTTGACCCGAGCTAAATACTGATATGCCGCCAAAAGTCCACTTCTACAGTCCTGTATGGTCACATGAATCCATTCGCGCGAAATTTGCATGTGGAGTGCTGTTCAAACCTGGCGCGAGATACTCACAGAAGCATGTTTGTACGATTTTCTTGACCCGGGTTGGGGGAGAGTTGAAATCAACCCGGGGCGATATTTCAACCCGGGTCGAGCGCAATGCGTCATGTAAACGTGCCATTCATCTTGTGTGCATGGCGGGTTGAAATCAACCCGGGTTGAAACGCCTCATGTAAACACAGCCAAACAAGCCCGTAAAATGTGCCCGTAAAACTTGGCTGCCCATATTACTGACTGAAACTTGTGAGAGGGTTCCCAAAGTTCCCAAAGTTCCCAAAGCGACTGCCATGCAGGACAGCCCTGGTTGCTTTGATGGAGATCTTCAAAGAGACACAGCAAACCAGTAGGCTCGCGATCATGCCTTTGCCGACAGTGGCAATGCTTTGTGAACTACAAAACACATGCTCAAAAGCTTTTGAGGTGTACCTAGATAAAAGGATTCTGCTTTCATCATTGATAAAAGGTATTTTATGCAGCAAGGACTTGGTATGACTCCCCTCCTATTCAACAGTGTGTGCGTTAGTTACTTACCTGACGGGCAGACAGCAAAGGGTGCGTGTCGGCTCTGCTCTGTCTGCCAAAGGGCATGTACGGTCTGGAGTTCCTCAGGGATCAATCCTGGGGCCTCTCCTCTTCCTTATGTATGTAAACGATCTGGCAGAAATGGATCACACATCACTATAATTATGCTGATGATACAGCACTACTTGTGACAGCACCCACTCTCCCCGAGGCTAGTGCCAAGTTACAGTCCAACATAGATGGCGTTATTCATTGGATGGAAAAATGGAAATTGCAACCCAACTCTTCGAAAACTGCTGTAATGTGTATCCCCCCCCCCCCCAGTTGTTCCTGTGACCTATCTTCATTAGTAACCAGTCCCTTCACCTTTCCAGGCACCACAACCCCGCTCTGCATCGTTGAAAAACACAAGCATCTTGGCGTCATTATTGACCAACACTTAACCTGGAAATCCCAGATCGAAAATTTAGACAGCCGTGTTAGCTCAGTAATGGGATTTCTCTCATCACACATCACCCACCTGCACACCGACTGTCGCCATGTTATCTACACATCTTACATTCTGCCTATTTTTGATTACTGCTGCATAATTTGGGCTGGCATTTCTAAAACACTGATTGCTCGACTCGAAGTTATGCATAGGCGTCTTTTGAAAATATTATTTCGGCTTCCTCGCCTGACTCCAAGCGCAGACTTATACCGCCTTGCTTCTGCTGTGCCGCTCTCGGTCCGCGTGCGTTTTTTGGCATGCCAGACAATTCATAAAATTAAGCTGGGCATTGCTCCTCTTCATGCTCTCTCCTGCCTAAGCTGGTTTGCTCAATCTCAAGACATGCGCACCAGAAACTCTCTCCGCTTCCCTATTGCGCGGTCTGCCTCTATGCAAACATCTCCTCTCTTCCTTGCTTACCGCCATTGGTCTCTCCTCCCACAACATCTAAAATCCTCCCAATGTTACAATACATTCACACAGCTACTGCAGAATGCAACATACTAGTTGATATCCAGCCCTGCCCTAGCTTCTTTTGCTTTTCAGTTCCCCTTTCATTCTTTTTCTTTCCCCCCTCTAGCTGTATTACCGCCATGGCTGGCTATCGCCCACATCACCATTTCATTGGCTAGTGCCACGTGATTGTGAATAAATAATAATAATAAAAATCACACTTTAAAGGCACGTTAGGTAAAATGAAGGTGTACAACATCTAGATTTCTTTTGCTTTTCCCCAACTTTATACCATCCCTGAATGGATGAAAGCATCTGGCAGCAAATCCTAGAGAGATTTTTCAATTTGTACCTTATCTATTTTTTTACATCCCAAAATCGCAATTTTCGCAAAATATTCTCTTCAGACACATGCCTCACAAAAGGTGCAGTGGCCAAAATAACTCAATCTAACTTGCATGGGTAGCATTATTATTATTATAGGCTTTTCCGCATTGGCATCGCCAAGCAAGCTTGGCTAGCCTCCGCATAAGCTGCTCCATGATGATGAGACGAAACAATGAATGCATGTATATACGATCTGGGACACAACCAAGGTTAAGGATATTTTGAAGAAAGCTGCAAGTTGTGTCGAGGAACACAAAGTTGCAAACTCTACAAAAGTAAACTGCAAGAACTGTTTTGGGGTTGATTTCATGATTATTGTAGTCACAGGTTGTGTTAGTAGTATTAAAGGTTGTGTTTTCACAGGTATGTTGTTTACATTCCTATTCTTTTACAGGATAATATTTTCACGAAATATGTTAGTCAATGAGTTATGTTATGGTACACCGCACAGCCATGCAGCTGCCACAGGTGGAAGCAGTATTAGGCTTTGATGTATTCTTTTTATCACATTGCTGCATAGGTCTTTCCAGTCTTGTCGTGACTGGGCGATGGCATGGAGGTTCTCAAGTTCCTCGCGATTCTTGAGTGACCCCCGATATGCTGCAAGTCCTGGTGCAGACTCAGTGGCAGAGTGGTACGTGGCCGGCCCCGCCAGGTGGCAGCGGAACTTGGGTTTTCGAAGTATGCTGCCATCAAAACGCGTGCTGGTACATCGTCGTCTAGTCTCAGGACATGGCCAAAGATGCGCCACCTCGCTCTCACAATGGTTTCCCCTAGGGGCTGGAAGTTGGTGCGTTTATACAGCTCGCTATTTTTGATGACTTGAGGGTACTTGATCACGATGACTGTTCGCAATTGACGTCTGTGGAATGCTTCCAATCGCTTGATGACATTGCTTTGGACTCCCCATGTTGAGCAATTGTACAGGAGTATTGGTGTGCTAAATGCGTTGTATAGCTTGATACGTCTGTTCTCTCTCATCTGCAAGCGCCTCACCCACAGTGCCCAAAGTCGTTGAAACGCACCTGTGGCCAGCTCCATACGCCGAGATATAATTATCTTCCCTGTCACCCAGTAGCGATCCCAGCTTCCGGGTCAGCCTCCATTCTTCTGCAATACAGTCACTGAACCTCTCGATATGGCTGAATTATGTCTCGGCGGTTTTAGCTGTCAAATCCCATTGCTTTAAGGTGTCTCCAATGGCAGGGAGGCAGGATTGGAGGTCAGTTCCCCTAGATGACAGAAAGTCAACATCATCAGCATATGATGTGTCAGTTGGGAAGTGCAGGTCTATGTCGGCGAAAAAGGCGACACGTACAACCCCCATGAATTTGTATTCGTCCAAAACCACCAGTCCATTCATTATCTTTCAAATCCAAAAAAAAACAGAAAAGAATCCTACCGAAATTTCTGTGGTGAGCGTTCCACCTTAAATCGTTGCTGTTTCATCTACTATGCGACATGCCCTACCTCATGTACCAGACTACTACTATGTTGGATACTATGCATCGACTAGGGGCCAGGCGTGAACTGATGCTGGTGGTGGTGGTGAGAAGGATAGCTCGATGCCAGAACTTTGCAGTGTAGAAAGCGTGTGTGGACAGGCGTGTATTCCCTTAACATCCATATAATGTATGATCCCACCTTTGACTGCTGGGCACTAGCTCAGCGGTAGCCTGTTTGAGTGCTGTTACATAGCAATTAGAGTTGTAGTGGATGTCAGTTTGTGTCTTGTCTTTGCTTCCAATGTTCCTAGGGAAATGTGCTGCGAAATATATACCTAACGGTGTTTTCCCAACGACAATATGGGGAGAAAAAGATAAAAAGTGGGGAACTACCTTACATGTCCAGCCTGTATGTGACACAGGATTTGAACCCTCTAATATCCCTAGGTGTAGCATCGACGGCAGTTGGCTAATGAGACGGGAAATTGAATATTGTACTCCTAAGGGTAAGTGTTTGTATGCCCATGTTTCTCTGTTCCTTTTTTTTAACCTGGCTACATATTGAAAAAACGATGTGCTATTACAGTGTAGTGAACTTGCAAGAGCAATGTGTAGTACTTCTTACAAGAAGTCAGCTGTCCAATATTGAGTGAGAGACTATTTCCAAACAAACGCACTTTGGAGAGCGACTGTCCGGCTTCTGCAGGTATTAAGTCATGCAAGTTTCAAATATTTATTCTCACAATAGCCAGTGCCAATAAGAGATAAAAGTGTCACAGAGGAGAAGTAGATGGAAAATAAAAGAATACTACTAAGTAGGGAGGAAGAATTGGGTGGGCAAGGATTAATGACTACTTAAGTGTATGGGCAGGGATGGTCGCACTTTAGCATTGAAGTTGCAAGCTGCCCGTTGCTCTTTTCATATCTTCAGACAACCAAGCGTCGGTGGCAACTCCCGTCACTGACAATGTGATGCTTCCATCATTATTTTCTTCCGGGACATAGGAACGGGCACCTTGGTGTATCTGGATATTTTGGAGCTTTCCATTTCCGAAAAACTCCTCCAGAATTCTATCGAGTTTTGTCCATTGTCACAGAGATATCTCCCAGGATGGGTATGATATTGTAGCCCGGTTTACATTCCACAGTTTGTAAGAGCCTTTGAGAAAGCTGGGGTGAGCTGTATAAATCTGCTGCGAAATGTACAACATGACAGGAAATCAATGGCTTGTCCACCAACTCTAAGATCAATACCATCTAAGAGAACGAGGGGTGGGGTGGGGTGGGTCTAACCGAGCTTGGAAGGAAGGAAAATGTGCCCCAATACGGGAGCGGATATATACTTTCCTATGGGGAATCCCATTAATACACATGCCACATCTGAATTTGAAAAATATCTCAACCAATTTTCTGGTTATGCTGATTTAAGTCGTGTTCATCCAATGTGCAGACATCAACTGTCCAGTGCCACGTATTGATAATGGAGGAAGCAGAGAAACCTCTGTTCGCTTCCCCGGAACTGCTCTCTATTCATGCTCTGCTGCGGACGGTTACATACTTGTGGGCGAAGCAAAGCCATGGTGCACTGCTCAAGGCACCCTCAGTGCATTGCCACAGTGTAAATGTAAGTATGATACGCACTGCACAAACTAAATTCTCTACTTTCAGGAATTTTAGGTGCTCAATACGTTCGGTATGAGGGCAAAAGGCCAGGTTAGGTGAACAGAACCTTTCCATGCAGAGAAGCAGTTCCCTTATGGATTAGGTGTGTTAGTGTTTGGTTGGTGTATTTATATTTTAGGGATGAATCTGATGCATGAAAAGAACCGAAAATTTAAGAGAGCATGTCTGAGAATACCAAAGTATGTGTGCAAGTGGATCTCTCCGATTTCGCTCAAAATTTGCAGGTAGGTTCCCTTTGGGGTGTGGATCGATTGTGCAAAGCCCTTGAAAAAGTTTCTGAAGGGAACCTTGAAATTTGCATACCCCTCAAAAATGGCCGAAATATCACATTGTTTATGGGTCTAGAAACGAGTCACGCCACAGCGTATACGAACAAGCTATGAACAAAACTCCATCAAGCCAACATTGCCTCACCTTAGAAGAGTTCCTGGAGCAGTACCGCTTAGCCACGCCAGCATCCCAGAAGACGAGGTCCATCACACCCTGACGCCACAAATGATCGTCTTGAAAATAGCCAATTTACAAGCGCTGGCGAAACAGCCAGCTACGTCCTCAATTGGCCAGAACTATACACCGGCAGATAGTAGAACACCTCTTCTAGCCCTGAGGACATGTCCCCCATCTTCCTTTTGGGGTTTTCTTGAAATAAACTTTTTTGAATTTTTCCACTCGACCATGCTGAAATACGGCCAAAGTCATACCTGCGCAGGAAAGCTCACCCCTCCGCGACGTCTCCTCAGCATTTTCTACTCCAACACTACTCTCAAGGCCGCAGAACAAAGTGTATTGTTGGCTCTGACAAGGAAAAGCAGCGGTGATCACTTGTCACTCCAAACGACAAGCTTCTCCTTGCGCCACCAATAATATTTTCTGCGACTGTTGATGCAAAAGTTACTGAAGGCCTGAGCGCAGTTTTTGAATTTTATTGCAAGATGCACGGTGAGATCTCGTGCTCTGTGACGCAGGATGACGCTTCCTGCATCAAAATACGCGGCCATCGATCGCGAATGTGCTGGGAACGCTACTCGGAACAGACCATGATGGCAGAGGTAAGATGAGCTTCATTTCCTGCTTGAACTGCTGAGAACCCCCACAAACTGTCCTAGGAGTGTTGCAATGGCAGCAAGCCGTTGAAATATGCCCCGTACAGCATGGAGAGTTATTCGTCTTTCACACTTACCTCCTGCAATCCCGAACACAGTCCAACAGTAAAAGTCCCTTGTTTTCATGTCGATGCTCGACAAAAGCGGCTAGCTCGGTCCCTTTGTGTTGACTGGCACGCGAGCAGCACTGGCTGCACGCACTTGTCGCGTGAACTGCATGAGAGATTTCTTACGTCATAAAGAATGTGATTTCATCATCATTTCACTGGTCTTCGACCTACATGGTCAGGGAAAGTACCGGTTCGTAGACCTACAACACAGTCAGCGTGCTCTTGGGCGCGGTAACAACACAAGTGTGATCACTTCCAGACCAACGGGCGTTCAAGGCGAGTAACAAGTGCACTTGACAAAGGTGACTCTGAAATCTCGTGAGCCGTTGGCCACGTGATTTGGCATTCTTGCGTCACAAGGCACGTGATTTCACCGTGCATCTTGCAATAAAATTCAAAAACTGCGCTCAGGCCTTCAGTAACTTTTGCATCAACAGTCGCAGAAAAAATTATTGGTGGCGCAAGGAGAAGCTTGTCGTTTGGAGTGACAAGTGATCACCGCTGCTTTTCCTTGTCAGAGTCAACACTACACTTTGTTCCGCGGCCTTGAGAGTAGTGTTGGAGTAGAAATTGCCGAGGAGACGTCGCGGAGGGGCGAGCTTTCCTGCGCAGGTATGACTTTGGCAGTATTTCAGCATGGTCGAGTGGAAAAATTCAAAAAAGTTTATTTCAAGAAAATCCCAAAAGGAAGATGGGGGACATGTCCTCAGCGCTAGAAGAGGTGTTCTACTATCTGCCGGTGTATAGTTCTGGCCAATTGAGGACGTAGCTGGCTGTTTTGCCAGCGCTTGTAAATTGGCTATTTTCAAGACGATCATTTGTGGCGTCAGGGTGTGATGGACCTCGTCTTCTGGGATGCTGGCGTGGCTAAGCGGTACTGCTCCAGGAACTCTTCTAAGGTGAGGCAATGTTGGCTTGATGGAGTTTTGTTCATAGCTTGTTCGTATACGCTGTGGCGTGACTCGTTTCTAGACCCATAAATAATGTGATACTTCGGCCATTTTTGAGGGGTATGCAAATTTCAAGGTTCCCTTCAGAAACTTTTTCAAGGGCTTTTCACAATCGATCCACACCCCAAAGGGAACCTACCTGCAAATTTTGAGCGAAATCGGAGAGATCCACTTGCACACATATTATATATTATCTATTTATTACAACATCTCAAGACTCGGTGGAAACACCGGCCAATGTTAAAGAGAGTGGGTGATTGCCAACCACGGCGATAAATAAAAGTAAGGGGAGGGAAAAAGAAAGAGTAGCAAAATGAACAGCAACAACTCCGTAAAGAAAGAGAAAGATAATGTCAAATAAAAACAGTGAAAAACACAGAGACGCAAAGGACATGTGGATAATGAGCTATGCATGTCGTAGTAAATAAGGGGCAGCACGGATTTTAAACAGGCGGAGTGAGGTCAGGTCCTTAACTTCTCTGGGTAGAGTGAGCCAAACAGAATAAGCAATAAAGAGAGGGGAGCGCAAAAGAGTGGATGAGTTACACTTAGGGAGTAAGAGTGAGTTTCTAGTTCTTAGAGAAGAGAACCAATTAAAACACATGAGATGAGGTGGGCACAACTCAAGCTTAATAGAATGGACAAGAGAAGCCAGGTGTGCACTGCGTCCATGTGATAACGGGGTTGTGTGAGCGATTTTATAAAGGGCGGATGATGAGAGCATGCGGGGTTGACGGAGGAGAATTTTAAGGATTTTCTTGTGATGTATTTCAAGCTTTGCAGCAGCGGAAGAGGATAACCCAACCCAAGACGTATCTGCATAATGAAATATTGGGCGAAGGTAGGCGAAATAAAAAAGAAGCTTGCAAGAAAGTGGGAGGTAGGAGCAGTGGGGGGAGAGAATTCCTAAGGATTTACTTGATTTTTTACAGATATATTCGATGTGAGGTACCCAAGAGAGTGCAGAGTCAATACTTTGGTATTCTCAGACATGCTCTCTTAAGTACACCGAAAATGTGTGAATTTACGGTACAGTGCTTTGTGTGCCTCAGATGAACCTCTTTGCAATGTATGCTTGGATGCATTCTTCAGTTTAGAAATTGTTGTTTCAAATCTTTATTCTCCCGATGGCCTGTGGCCAATAAGAGATAATAATTATAGTGAGATTAGTATAATGCGGAAGCTTCATGGCTAGCAGTGATCAAACTAGATGTATGGGTGAGCGTGGCTCCTGCACGAGCAGATTGAATTGAACAGCAGGGATGATATATTTTGCTTAAACAAAGCTGGTGATTGAATGTCGTGTAATGTCGGGAGAGGCCATTGAAGTAATGGAGAGATTTGTAAAGAGGGGAACCCAGGCAGCTGTCCGTTCTTGCAGTTGGTAAATGCCAAATGCGAGTGTGCCGGAAGCTATAGCCTGTGTTGACACGATTTGGGATTGCAAGCATTAGAATATGTGGCGGGGCGTAGTTGTGGTGGATGGAGTGAGCAATGATATGTGTTTAACTTTAAAGCGGGAGAAGAGAGTGGGCCATTTGATGCGGTGTAGAAGGTCAGAGTGGTTGATATGGGTGTAGAGAGGGAGGCGGAGGCATAATCGTGCGGCTTTCCCCTGGATTCCTCTAGCTTGTCTAAGGTAGTGTGGGAAATGAGGGTTACAGCAATGCTTGCATAAGAGTATAGGGCAAGATGCGTGAAGTATAGATTATTGCAAGAGCAGAAGTGAGTTGTGACTTCACTATAATGCTATCAAAGTGTTTTTTGTTCAGTTTGTTCATGTCGGAATATTATGCCAAGGTGACGATGTTGTGTTACTGTTTCTAGTAGAGTTTGCCCAAGTCTTATTTCGGGTAGTCGTTGCGGGGTCGGTTAGCATGGCAGAACGGGAGGATGACGGTTTTCGCTTTATTGACTAGCAGGTGCCAGTGCTCTAGCCATTCGGCTGCAGCATCGACGCTTCTTTGTAGCGTAGCCTCACACTCAATATAGCTGCATGCAATGGTAGTCAGTGCGGTATTGGAGGTTTATACGGACTAGCTCTACCCGTAAAGTGACGAGCCTAAAGCTGAATGCCAAGAACCGACTTGACGATGTTCAGCGTGCTCAGGATAGCACATTGCTGAGCCCTTTCAATGCGCAGAGACTCAGTGCCTGCCAATGCCACACAAAGTGTGACAGGGACGCACCAGTCAGTCCACCAAGCGGCCCAACAACAAGGGGCACAACGTGGACATCATCCACATGCCAGATGCGCCGCAGCTCTTGGCAAAGGGGAGCGTACTTTGTTATTTTTTCGGCGATTTTCGGTTATTATTCTTATCACAGTCGTCCCTCTTTAATCCCGCACTTGTTTATCCGGAACCCTTGCCAACCGGCGCACTTTCTGTCGAAACCGATTTTTTTGTTCAATTCCTACATCTTAATCCGGTACTTAAATTCCGCCTCCGGCAGTGACTTTTTGAAGCGAATCGCTCAAGCAAAAAAAATGTTAAATGTCATGCTACGTTGTAGGCTCGCTCGCCTCTTTTGCTAGCTTATCTCGCCGCTCTCCACCATGGTCAACATAGTGATACATTTCACCCCGCTGACGCATTATTTTCCTCCGATTATCATCTTCTTTCATTCATTTTTTTCTTGTCTTGCCATGGCTGGCTGACGCCCCCTCCTTTGCATTGGCTTCTGCCATTGGACGGTGACATAATAATAATAATAATAATAATTTGGAAAGGATTGGGAGAACTTCAAATTCAAAGGATCTGTCGGGGAAGTGAACTG